GTGTCTTCAACGTGGAGGGTTACAAACGTTATGTCATCCGGTGTGGAAGACATTTCTGGAGGTTTCTAACTTGCCTTTAGGGCCTGTGTTGTCATTATGGTAGCTTGCAAGGGAGAATCTCTTTAGTGGTTCAGATAGGAAAGAGACTGGGCAGTAAGTGGCCACTTAGACAGCCAGCTCATGGGCCAGAACACCGCCACAGCGGCCTTCTCCTTGACAGAGGGGACATCTGAGCTCATTCAGGCAGTTCCCAGCTCTGGCACGTCCACAAGTTTAAGGAAAGAATCCCTGAGTTTTTATTTATCTATTTATTTATTTATTACGGGATCAAGATGAAAACTCTGAAGAATGGTGGAATCTTCCCATGAGGATAGACCAGTGAGAGTCCCTAAGGTTCAGAATAAAATCGGTATTCACGTCTGTACAGTCTCCCAGCCTGTAGTTCCGACCTGTGCACCTCGCGGAGGTGCCTCTAAAGCAATCTCATCTCCCAGTCTAGCCCTCGCGTGAGTCGCCACACAGCCCAGGTGTGTGCTCAGCGGGTGTGTGTCGTAGGTGACCTGGCACCGGCCACCGAGCGATGGCAGAGAGGACGGGGCAGGGGCTGGCTGTCCAGCGGGCCCTTTCTCCTTTGCAGACGTTCCCGGTCGCCGCTGTAATAGACACCCTGTGGTTTTGGAGCGTGACTGTGGAGCCTCAGATAACCGAGCACCAGGACACGCTGGCAGGAAGGTCCCCGGGCGTTTAGAACAGCAGCAGTAAAGGCGGCTACTGCGGTCTGGGTTGGAGGTGGACAAGCAGGATGCCTGTGTCGTGGGCCAGAGCAGGTGCCAGGCCGTGGCACCTCAGCTCTCTCCACCTCCCAGGACCCGCGAGCTCCCTTACAGCCGAGTCAGGCCCATGTGTGCCCTGTGCGATGAGAATTACGAGCAGAGCCAAGCCCCTTTCAGAGGGGAGGGGGAATGGTGTCTGTCCCCGGGCCTGGGAAGTGCTTTCACAGGGTGTCCTCGCCACCGGCCTGTACTTTACCGTCGTCTGACACTGAGAATTCATAGGAAGGGTTGTGGATATCAGATAATGCCAGCAAGCGCTTTTCCTGTCCCGTCTGTCCCTTACCTGACAGGTGCCTGTCTGCACCTGTAATGCCAGCTCAGAG